AAAAAAGGGATAAAAAGTAAATACAACTGAAGAGTGTGCGATGTTATATTGTGGTGTGTTCTGCTTCATATGTTATGTTATTTATTCTCATGTTATGGTTATATTATGTTATGCCAAGTACTAAGCTAAACTCCCCTCCACTTAACCCATTACAACTAATGTTATTTTAGCTCATTCAACTTACATAAACTATCCTTAATTTTATCGGTTGAATTTCAACCGCTGGGCGAACACTAGTAGAATAAATTTTTTGGGTCTCCATGGAGCATCTGGACCTCATTGCGACACGCCTTAACCGACTCCAATCGGGACCAAAATTTATATGTGAAAATCTACGACTACGGTTGTATCGATTTTGGGTATGAGTTGGCAACAAAATTTATTTTAATTTTTTGTGCTCTATAGAGGAATCAGAACTTTGGCCCATGTGCGACACGCCTTAACCGTCTCCAATCGGGACCAAAATTTGTATGTGATGTCTGTGACCGTGGTATTACCGATTGAAGGGGTGATACTGAAAAAAATCGCTCATTTGATTTTAAGCACCACCCTAATGTACATATGTATGTCAGCGTGTAAATAAACACATTTATCAATTTACTTAAGCATTATTATTTTCTTTTTACTAACGACTCTTCTATATAAATTTCTTCCAGTTCTTGTCCGCTTAAACTTGATATTTCCTTTGTGAGCGTGTGACCAATAAAACTCGCCATCACGTCGCAGTACGCCCTATTAAACGTCAAACACATTATTTGTGTCTACAAGGTGAAGAAAAAATTCATCGAACCAGTAAATAATACGTAAGCAACTTGATACCAAAAGCATTCAGTGTCGAACAAACATTCAGCATCGAGTAGTCACAACTAGTCATAGCCGCATACGCCTTGTAGTACCCGCTGCGTTCAGTGAAGCACATTCGTCTTGGGTACAACACCTGTTGCCACAACGTTGCTTTAGCGCTCGTCGAACACACACACACACACACACACACACGATGCCAGTGCAATCTCCAATTGCGATTAGCAATCGTGCTATTGAACATGTAGACGATGTCGATCCACTTGAATATCATGGCCATTGGGAACCGGTGGGAATAGCACGTGTCCAGAATACAGGCACTTCGGCGGTGGTGACATTCGCCAAACGCAAACAGCAGCCCTACATTAAGGGTGGTTGTTTGCTTGACAACAAATACATATTTGAGCAGCTGCACTTTCATTGGGCCGATACGGATGAGTCGGGTTGTGAGCACACGCTCGAGGGTGTCAAATACTCAATGGAGGCACATGCCGTGCACTACAACTCCAAGTATAAGGATTTCGCTGAGGCAAAGAATAAGCCGGATGGCTTGGCAGTGGTGGGGTTCTTCATACAGGCGTGCGGCGACAAGGATTGCCCTGAATTCAAGAAGATCACAGAAGGTATACGCATAGTACAGAAGATCAACACAAGCGCTTCGCTGGATTCCGGTTAGTGAGAGTTGCGTTTTAATTAATTTACATGCACTTATCTCGTCCTTTAAGTAGATTGCTTGTCTTGGATTGGCTTGCAAGAGCTAAGTAAACATTATTACACATATAAAGGATCATTAACTACGGCACCATACTTCGAAAGCGTTACTTGGATAATTTATCGGACGCCAATTTACGTCTCCAAAGGACAGGTGAGTGCAGTCAGCATTGGGGAGTTTTATTCGCACGTAGGAGCTAGGGGGAGAAAGTGGTGAAGCTAGTTCGGAGTAAATTATAAATATCAAGCATTTGTAGATACTAGCAGTGCACACTACCCCATCAGTAAGTCCTAGGTACGATGCTTGGTTCGTAGAAAGCGTCAAAGGATAAACAATTTTAAACTTTATAATCTATTTCCGCCTCGAATTAGCTTCCCACAAAAAGTCATATTCTGTTCAGAGGTAGCCTAGGTAGGTAAGTTCTTCCATTTTTCGTGGCAACATCAAGACACACCCTACGAATAGGAAGAGAAGCTTGCCTTTTTGTTCTTGCCTTTTGAGCCGTTACAACCATTTAGGCAATTTAAAATATTTTTTTTTGTCGCTGTAGCCAAGCAATTGTAGTAATTTTCCCCCAAATTGTTTGTTAAATCCCCTTTTATATCCGATTCCTCCAGCCGAGTGCTCAGATACCATGCGGTTCCCACGACAGTCGGGTCTATGTTGTTGTGTTGTGGCGACTGTGTGTGGTTGCTGTGTGAGTGTGTGGGGCTGCACGGGCGGACTATTGTTTGCCGTGGAGGCTGCTCTGTTAGAGCAACAGGGGGCCACGTACGACGTGGTCCACTGTCTGTGCGTCCGTAGTCCCGAGCAGACCCTGAGGTGACTCCACCCCTCGCAGGCATTACACTTGACTGAGGTGGAGTTGTGGTGTAATCGTCTTCGGCATACACAGCAGGTGTATATTTCTGGCCCAGGGTTTGACTCGATGCCAGCCCTGAGTAGGAGAATGCGTAGTGAATGTTGCCCTATGGACGGACAACTTCTGAGATACTTCGCCGACCTAAACGGGGTTAGATCGCCGAAACAACAGCCCTTGGTCGGGTGAAACCCGAGTCATTCCGGTACGTAGAACCGGCTGTCGTGGGAATGTGTGGTCGCAGCGCCAGTGTGGTCGCCAGAGACTAGTAGGACGCAGTGGACGAAGCTACAGACGGTACAAAATACGGCACTTAGGACAGCGACGGGATGCCTCCTGATGTCGCCTGAACACCACTTGCACGGCGAGGCGCATATGCTCCCAGTTAAGGAGCATAATATAATGCTCTGCAAGCAGTTCCTGATCGGGAGCCACAGAAGTGGCCACCCAAACAGACAGCTGCTTGCAGAGGAGCTCTCGCCTAGGCACGTCAGGAGGCATCTATATGAACTGACGGACGAAGTCCAGAGGTTCATTAAGCAACCTCTGGACCCGACAGCGTACAGACAGGCCCTGAACGGCATTCACAGGGACTCAGTCTCGAGTTATGTAGACTCCAGACCTGTGAATGCCGTTCTAGGCATACCACCTCCGGACATAGACGAGACAGAGCTTCATCTGCCTCGGGAGACACGCACTACACTCGCTCAACTTCGCTCCGGCTACTGCAGCAGGTTAAACTCCTACTTGAGTAGGTTGAATGAGGATGTGCCGAACGAATGTCCGGCATGCGGAGAGACCCCACATGACTCGAACCATCTCTTCGCATGCCCGGAAAACCCGACAACCCTAACGGCCCTGTCCCTGTGGACAGATCCCACAGAAGCTGCACGCTTCCTAGGGTTGCCGTCAGTGGAACTTGACGACAACGACTGAGATACCAACCGATCTGGGCGGGGTTGTTGTAGCCGCTACAACAACAACAACAGTCGGGTCTACGTAACCGGAACGACCCAGATTTATATCTGGCCAAGGACTGTCACTCCAGCAACACTCCCCAAAAACCGTTTGGGGAACTTGTATGCTGCTACAACAACAACAACATACCATGCGGTTCTCCGGTTTCATTCAAAGCGCTTCTGGTATCGGATGGGTACATTGTATAAGACAGGAAAGCAAGGGTTCGGTGAAAATGTTTATTTTGATTTATTTATAATGCTGAATTTATATAAATTTAAGCATTCGCGTAAATTGTAAATGGATAAGCCCTTCTAGATGGCATGCAAGGAAGCCTGTTTCCAGCCCTTCTAGGGTAGGCCTCTTAGAATGGCTTCACTTAAGAAGGCCTACTTAAATTATCTTCTGGGATATTTAACATTAATAATAAATTTAATTTTTCATTCCCCAGGTTCAAGTATTCCGCGATTTGCAATCATGTCCAAAGGATGAAAGTAAGAAAATAGTTAATAATTACCGTGAAATTCAACAGCCAGACAAAGATCCTGAAGTTTATTTCGCGCGCAACGCCAAACCAAAAGCAAAATTATGATTTGTTGGAAAAACATCTGCAAATTCAATGAACGGAAATGATATATGCAAAAGGAATTGAAGTGCAAAACTATGTATTTAGATTAGAAATTCACTTCTCATGCAAAAATATATCTGAATGTATCTTAGTGTTTCTATACTAGTTCCAGTACGGTTGGCACTTTTTATGTGTGTGCATCTGCATAATGCGACATTTACGGGTGGAAACCAAACTTCAGTTGCGTTGCCAGTGGCTGAACTCGCAACTGAGTTGCTATTATTGGCAACTGCATTTTCCCCGCCCACCCATAATTGTATAAATGTATATGCCCATATTGACATCAACTGACGCACTAAGCTACTTTCCACTTTTATAAGTATTTTATTGAACACATTATTACTTATAAAATATTTAATTAAATATTTACCACTATAACTATATAGCAGAGTAATCACATAAGTAAAGCCATAACCAAAATTCCCAAAATGCCGAATGCAGGAGATATTGGTTGTGGATTGACTAATTTTTCTTTATAATTGTGATGTATTCATACAAACAAGGCGCTATTCGTGTGCTGTCTCCGGGTATTATTAAACACTAAATTACTAAAACACCGACTTTTTTCCTAAAACAATACTACTATCTATTATGGTATTTATATTTAAATAATAATTTAAGCAAATTATGTAGATTCTACATAAAAGCTAAACAAAATGGGTTAAAAAACACATTCCAAAACATGAAGGAATTGTATTGAATCGCAATATGGAATTCTGTTAGAATTAAAAATTGTTTTATTTAATGTTAAGTGTACTATGCATGGACATATGTTTAACATATGTACTATTCTATGTATCTTGCAACTGTTTATATGTATTGTATACTGCTTGTTACGAGGAATTGTCATATTTTTATATTCAAAAACGAAAATAACCAAAACTATTTGTGCCGTAAGTACATAAAAATACTTATGTATTTCAAAGAAAAATAAATATAAAACCGACTTATTAAATATAATTCATTATTTTATTTTTTTTAGAGTGGCTTGTCTTATTTTGGGTAGACTGAAGAAACTTTATGATGTGCTTATTCATTGCGTTCCCGTGAATTGAAACAATTGCGTTCCAAGCAACATAAGACACAATCGAGTTTAGGTCATCTGAAAATTTGGCCATGATTGAGCATAAGTCCGGAAATTATCATTTTCCTGTTTAATTGGAAGTGCTATTTATTTTTTTCGAAGTGGTTCAAAATAGCCTGAGTCCTTTATACTTCATATATTTAGCGATGTTGGTTAAAATACATAAACCGATTTGAAAATTTTTAGTATCTAGCCCCCATGTGCTCGCACCATAATATTTTCTTCACTTAGCACTTTCGTTTTATTATTTAAATTTACCTGAGTTTTGTTTTGATACTGATCAATTTTTAATCTTTCAGAAAAATGTAAGAAATAAGTATTCTTACTCTTCATTACGACTCGTATTAAAAATATAGTAGGTATATAAAATAATACTAGCGACTATCCTGCAATTGTTCCTTTACTGTCTCGATAGTCCTCCATTGGCATCTTGGTTAAATATTTTGATTAATTGTAAATTTTCCGGTACTTTTCCTACAGCTCATCAACAGATAATTAGATACATATAATCCTCTGTGAAACAGCAATAACATCAAGAGAAATCTAATTTATAACCAATGTCTGCGCCAGGGCATACCAATATGCTGCTAAGCAGTTTCATAAATCTTTTCTCGCCACCTTCCTCGACCAGCGATGACAATGTAGAAATAATCGAAAAACAGCAAGGGATGCTCGTACATAATCGGCATATAGTTATAGATTTGGTTAATAAAATCTTCGATGATAAGCTCGGCAACGTTGAATTATCTTCGTCGCACTGCTCAAGCGTGGCGAAGAGAAGCTCCGAATACAGCTATGACAGGCGTCTCAAGTACTGGAAGGAAATGTTGGAGCAGCGCAAGTCTGTGCAAGCGAATATTCAGTCGAAGACCGGTAAAGCAGCAGCCGAAGTGCTTTTCAATCGTGCAGTTACAGTTGATGAACGCGACAAACAGACCGTGCGTCGCCTAATGGACTATGCAGAACGCATGAATCCGTTGTCCGTAATGAATAAACATGAGTCTATATTACCGGAATATATTGACTGCAGCACGTGCCAGCATGTAAATGAAATACGTGAAACGTTGCCAAAGGCGGAGCGTGATGGTGAAAAAATAGTCGAGATAAGTGGCTTACCAGCTGTGACTAAGGAAGAGCTGCTGGGCCAGCCTAAGGATCAGGGCATGTGCAGGAAATCGGATTGGTTGAAGTCGAAGGTGCTAGAGGATCGCATTGAACAGAAGCGAGAAGATTTAGAACGCGTTATTGAATTTTATCCAGATATTGAAAAGTTGCAAGTTGTAGGCCAAAGTTTTAATAAGATAAATGTGTTGCGCCACAATGTTGACATAAAGTATATAGGTGAAGAACTTATACATGAGATATCACAAGATTCAGCAATTGGTCAGCCCGATGCCCAGGTCGGAGCAATTTTGGAAGTACCACAACCACTGCCCGACTATAGCGTCCGGATAAACGATCATGTTTTTGAACTTACTGAGAAGCGTAGCGCTAAGTATGTCGAGATAGAGATCCGTTTCGAATGTGAGCCCTTTGAAAAAATCATTAAGCGTGTCCTACATCTGGAGAACTTGGGTAAAAAGGTGTTGAACTTCGAATGGATTCCACGGCCGTATTTCGAGAAGAACGCTAATTTGCTCAAGGCCAACGATAATGAATTTATCTTCCAACACAAGCCATTTCGTCTGTCCACAGGAGACACCATGGACATTGTGGTGCAATTTCAGCCACGTCGAGTCGACGTTATAAAACAAAAGTGGATGTTAAAAATTGATCCACAATTTGTTTGTCGCAAAATCGACGCAGTTGTGTTGCGCCTGAGTGGAAGGTGTAAGCCAGCGCCAGAATATCTGCAAAAAATACAAGCTGTTCAAAAGGATGTATTGGATAAGTCCAATACGAAGATGGTACGAAAACTCACCACTGGCTTGGCTTCACTCACGCCACTCATCAAGCTGCCCGAAACACCTTGCCCGTACAAGCGCGCTCTCACCGAACTGGAGCTCTTCGAATTCATTAATCCCGGCTATCGTTGTGAGCGTTATCACGACATACAACTACTGAAGGAACTATACCAGCGATTAAAGAAGCCACGTGAACCGGCCTGGGATCTGAGTGTGGAAACCTTGAAAGCTATGATATTACGCCAAGGAAGTCCCGATCAACGCGCTTTACTTTTTGTAGAGATGATGGGTATTTTGGAGGAGATGCGTGGCAAACCTTCCATAGATTTTGAAGAGAAAATATTGCACAATACAGAACGTGAACGGACATGCTATGTGTACGTGCGGGGCATTATATCGACGGGTATCGACGAATGGGAAGAGCTGGCATTGACGATTGAGGAAGCCTTTCTAAAAGTAGCATGGAAAGAGTATATCGACAACTATTATGCCATTCAAGAGGACATCCCTTCTCTGTCCAGGGAGGATGCTGGTGGTGATGTTGAAGATACGGAGTTACAGGAACCGGACGAGCTTGACAAGGAGGAAATCAACAAGTGGCTGGCTAAGGAGCTACGTCATCGTAAGGCATTCCGCGACACACTCTATGTGCAGACTTATACACATTTGTGTGATTTCATTGAAGATATTGTGTCTGTGATTGAGAGCACAGATGTCGTTTGAGCGACTTCAGATTTTCCGGTGGATAGGTTACTTAACGCGCTAGGAAAATAAATCCGTAATAATGAAGTAGAAAATTTATGTATCGCTTGAGAGGTGGTGTACTGATAAAGAATGTCTTATTTTTATATATTTAATAAAAGAAATGGGAAAACTTGCTTGAAACAATGCATTTGGTTCAGAAAAGACATTACTGTTTGACCTTTGGGGCTGCCGTTAGTGGAACTCGACGACAACGACTGAGATACCAACCGAACAACAACAATAACAACAACAACAATAACAACAACAATAACAACAACAACATCAATAACAACAACAACAGCTCTTGGACAGATGGGCTCAGCGAACGCTAGCCGAAAACCAGGCTGTACTACTGCAAGGCGCGACTCTCATTTCTGGTGGATTTATTGACAGGTCCCTGTGACAGTGGCTCCTCACTGTCACAGATGCATTGACGATGATGGACATCCAAATAGTAAAGAAACATATTTTGCTCGTCAAAATGATTTATTAGCATATTATTAGTTACACGTTAGGCAAATAAAAATAATCATAGTCCTTTGTTCTTATTTATCACACACCTTTTTGAGAAAATTCGAATCCGCTGAGTATGTTGAGATGTCGACATCTTTTATTTAGTTTTTTGTAAGAAGTGGTATAATATTTTCGATAAACCATTTGCTAGTCATTTGCAAATGATCACCCTCTACAGATAGGTACAACAACTTGCCGTTTTCATCCATTTGTTTAAGCCCGAGCTGCGGAAAAAAACAAAAAAATTAAGTGAAGAGTTTAATATTACATATCTATGGCGTTCAATTGATGGTCCGGCCCTATTTTATATTGCGACTAATAGCCGATGGGCTACGATATACTAAAATTCGCATTACGTATGGAAACTGGGTACTGATCCAGAAGATAATTTAGGTAGGTCTTCTTAAGTAAATCCATTTTATGACGCCTACCCAAGAAGGACTGAAAAAAGTGCTTCCTTGTAAGCCTTCTAGAAGGGCTTATCCATTTACAATTTACGCGAATGCATAAATTTATATTATTTTGCATTAAAAATGAACTAAAAGGAAAAATATTTGATATAAACTTTAAGCAAATACTTCAAAGATGTATGTTTTTTATAATTTAAAGGAGCAACTTTAAAAGAACTCCTCCAAAAGGCATTCTGAAGTAGGTCCTGTAAAAGCCTTTCAGGAAGGCCTTCCATGGGTAACAAAAGAAGAAGCCCTTCAATTTGTGCCATTCCATACAAAATAGAAAGGAGAAAGGAATGTAGAGTGGAAGACGTCTGGACTCTCAGCAAGGCCTTTCGGGAGGGCTTTTAACTCCTGAAATTATCTACTCGGGACTGTGGGCTACTGAGTCTAGTAGCGCAATTTTAAGTTTCCCGTTTATGACGGTTTTGCTATTTGTTTAAAAAGTAAATTCGGACATTGTCTCAGTTTTTCTGTATACTGAGCTTAATCGCTATACTGGTAGCTATCTCTACTGCACCAGCAACTAGAGATCAGTCGCCATAGATAATAGGGCCATAACGTAGCTTAATTGACTTTAAAAGTTTTAACTTTGAATTAAAAAATAATCAGTTTCCCTTGAATGTTTTCTATATTTTTATTAAGCTTCTATCAAAAGGGCATCTTGAACAACATCAACGGCTAGTTAAACCTTAAAATATTGTTTGGGAACCCAATGAAATGTTGCTATAAAGGGAAAAGGGTCTATCCCGACTTCGGCTGCTTTAATTGGACGGCACAGATATGTGCATGAAGGGAAAGTGATTATTTTTCAATTCAAAGTCAAACCTTCTAAAGCCACTTAAGCTACTACTTTAGTTGATGTATATGTATTTAGTTATATCTATTGAATTACATCTTCGTAAACTCCGCTTTGTATTAGTGGGCGGATGCTTTTATCTTGACCAGGTGCGTAAAAGCCAAACCACTGTGACTCTTTAGGCTGAACTATTGAGTCATTCAAGAACTTGACCATTACAAATCTGAAAGGATGTCTTGTTAGTTGGAAATATTTTATTTTTTATAATCGTTTGCACGCTTACTTTTCTAGTTTATTAAGGTTGGTAATATAGGTTTGGTTGATAAACACTTCGTTGTTGATATTAGAAAGAAATGAGCTCTTCTGTCGATATTCTTCTTCTCTTAAGGGATCATGCCAGTAAGTAGCTTGCACTAGTTCGCGCTGCATCCATTCCTTATAAGCAGCACGATGCAATAACTTACGTAGGTGTTCGCAAGCTCTGTTTGATAGCGAGGGGCATTTGGGCAAGCCAAAAACTCCTTGATGTTGTCCGCCTATCGAAATCAATGTTTTAATAGGTGGGGTAGCACAACGTTGGGCGACAGCACGCCTGGAATATTAAAAGGAAAGTAGTTAAGTATAGCTGTGGGAAACCCATGATTGTGCTCACATAAATTGGCCGCCCTGAGAGAAGCCAATAGCATTGTAGCCTCCTGAAAGTTTTACATCTTTGGCCAATTGATCACAAACATAACGCACTTGGTCGTCGGGGTGTACGAAGAAACCGCTCTCATAGTCGAGTGCAATATTACCGCCGATTTTCAGTGAACGCACATATGCGCCATTAGTTTCCGTTTGAATTAATTTCTTTATGGAACCCATGCTGAAGGGAAAACAGCAAGTGTCACCTTGGAGCAGAAATATATGAGAAGGTTATGGATTTTCCTTGTAGGATGTATGATCAATAAAACTTAATAGAATCTAGTAAGGCAAGTGACTTGCATAAAGGCAAGTGACTTGTAGTGACCGGTGATGTGAACCTAAAACTTACCCATTCCATGCCATAATACGACGGGCAGTGCATCGGAAGCAGTTGAAGTACCGCAGCAAATAGTTATTAATATTAAGGTTTTCAGGAAAACCATTTCCTTTTTGCTAGCAGAACGCAAATTAAATTTACCGAAATCAATCACTTCATTTGCTATTGAAAATTTTATCAATTTAATTCTAAACAAAGATATTCAACAAAACACAGGGATGCAATGTAAAAGGTCCTAATTTTTAAAGGGTTGCCATGTTGGAATTTTTAGAATTTTAGTCTTGTGTTGTTTACGAAAAAATTTACAAGCCCTACTACGTTGGTTTGGTTAGCGTTGCTTTCGTATTTTATTTAAACAAATATTTTACTCAAAATATCATAATACAAATATCATGCAAAATATATTAGGTTGTCAAAAATAATTTTCTAAGGAAAGTGAGAAAATTTATATTTCCATCTTTCGCAAACAATTATCACAAATTATCTGCTTATCGAACAGACCAGTAGTTAGAGATTGCTGCAAACACTGCCAAACGGAAATCCAAAGCTGTTTCCGCACTGTTTTCTTCCACGTTTATACAAAAAAAACCTATACAATTTTGATATTACGCGGACCAGAGATCGAACCTGGATTTTAACGAGCGTTAGCATGCATCTCTAACCAATCAAATGGGTAAGAGGGCTGATTGTTAACAAGGCCGAGCTAAGCGATTTAGCCATATCCGTATGTATGTTTGAGCGCAATATACTCCGTAAGTTTTCGAGATATCCGACTAAAATTAGGTAAGCGGGTGGCCCTTTTTTAATATATCATTTGTCGGAATCAGCGAAATCGGAGCTCGAAAACTTACAGCTCCCATACAACTGATTGTCAAATACGAGATTTTGCTTTAAACTCTTTTATTAGGGCAGCAAAAATCGTTCAATTTCGAGTGCTACATAATTTACCAATCAATCGAACAAGGCCTCCTGAGAAAATCGTCAAGTTCTATAAGGAATATCACCCATATTACTGCAAAATAATAACCCTGCATTTTATTGTTATTTTTGTTTTATTTATTTATTTATTTTATTTATTTATTTTATTTTTTTCTCCTGGGGAGATTCTTCGATTGCTGTTTATGGTGAACCTGGTGTTTTAAGGATAATTAGATTCTCCCTGCCATTTTGGACTTTCAAGTTCTCAAAGCTACAAAAAAAAGTTCTTCTTCTTCTTATTTGGCTCTACAACCATTTGTCGCCAGTTACCTCTCTCCTTCGCAGATTTCGCGGACATTTGCTGTTGGTCTTTCCATTGTGTTCGTGGGCGCCCTTGCTTTCAGTGTGCATCCATGGATGCTGAGTCAAAGGATATTTTCACCGGAGCATGGCCATCCATACGTACAACATGGCCAGGCCAACGCTGTTGTATTTTTATGCGTTTAACTACATACATATATCCACCTCGTTAATAAGCTCGTACAGTTCGTCATTCCATCTTCTTCGATTTTCATCACTCACGTGAACAGGGCCATAGATCTTGTATAGAATAGCTCCCACAGCCTTCTCATCTATATTCGATATCGTCGATGTTTCTGCGCCATATGAAAGGACGGGCATTATGAGAGATTTGTAGAGCATTATATTTGTTCGTCGTGAGAGAGCTCTGCTCTTCAATTGCCTATCGAGCCCAAAGTTATGACTGCCTACAGTGATGTGAGTCCCAATACGCGAAGACCTCTTTAGCTTCTTTTTCTAAGCTGCAAAATGATGCACTGCCATCCCATGCTGTCAAAATCTCATCAATGGCGGACTTACCAGGTCTGAAGCCAAACTGAATAGGTCCATCAGTTGGTTCGTGATGGGCTTCAGGCTTTCACACAGTATGATTTAAAGATTGGTTAGCTTTTCGTTTGTTTTTTTTGCTTCGAAGACGTAAACTAACACGAACACAGGCATGCCGACGAATTCGAATACGAAGACAATGACGAATATTTAGACGAATATGATCATGAACACGAAAACAACCACGGGGACGCATTCGATGATGAATACAAATACGAGACGAATACGAATACGGAGACGATTTCAAATTCGAATACGAATACGACGACGCAGACGAATACGAAGCCCAAGAAGAATACGATTACTTAAACCAATAAAACAGACGAAAGAGAGGTCGATAACGAATATGAACATGACTACGAATGCGAATACGAATACGAACCGAAGACGAATACGAATTCAGTCATGATGACGAATATGAATGCGTAGAATGTGAAGAGTAATACGAACACGCAGAAGAAAACGAAGACGAATACTTTTAGGAAAGTGAAGGCGGAGATGAATACGAATATGAAGACGAAGACCAAGGCTGAGGATAAGGTCAATTAAATGAAGCTCCAGTTTAGTAGTGAGGCCCTGGCGCACGAATTTTTTAATTTTTTTCCTTTCTAGGA